AGGAAAATTGGTATGTACTTTCATAAAGGGACAGTGGAAATGCAATGGATGTATACTTACTAGAAGCACTTGCTAATCAAAAGGCTTTGTGTGAGAGGAATGTGAAAAATGAAAATGAACGGTTAATTAAAGATCTGGGATGTAGCTCAGTGGTACAGGGCTTGCCTGGCACACATGAGGCCCTGGCTTCAATCTCCAGTACTGCAAATAGACAGCTATCACTACAATGTTATCTGTAACGCTGAAAAAATCAACTGGTAGATAAACATTTTGTGTAGATGCTAAGAACTTCATGCACGACAGACCATTTGAACCAACACTCAAGGCCTATAACGTATAAAGGCAGTTACTTCAAACTACCACCTGGCAATTAAAAAATTTTTCAGACCCTGTCACTTTTAAGAACCTTTTATTTTCAATTCAAATCAGAGATGGGGTGATGGGATCAAATGGGATATAGGAGACTCAATTTCATATAAACACAGTCTACCTCCTTAATTTCTTTTAAAAAATAATCATAAATAGCTTGGAGGAATTAAAATATAAGCACAAGGGCTGGGGCTACATGTAGCTCAGTGCTAGAATGCTTGCCTACTATGCACAAGGATTGAGTTTAATCCTCAATACCAATAAATTAACAAACAAAGCAGAAATGGAAAAACTCAGCTAGGAGATTAAGGTGAAAATATCTCCCAGAAAAATAAACCAAAAAGACAGAACTAAAAATCAGGAAGACGGGCTATGAAAATTAGACAGCCAGTCCAGGAGATGTATATCACAGGAAATATAGGGACGGGACAGCAATGACAATAAACACGAAGTAGGAACTCGTTCACTAATATAAAAAAAATTCCTGAACTGAAAGGGACCACAGTGGGTAAGAATAGACCCACAGTAATAACTATCAATGTGACAAATCAGAACACTGGAGACACACACACACAAAATCTAAGCATTTACTAGGAGGTAGGGAGAGGGAGGTATGCATACAAATGGTCAGGTATTCGAACGGCTTTAGACTTTTAACAGTAACATTGAATTTGGAAGACAACACAGAAATATTTAAACCCAGCTGAACTATTACTCAAATGTGAGAGAAAATGAAATTTTCAGACATGCAAAAATCTCAAAATTGTACCACCCATGCTTATTTTCTCCACAAGTTACTTGATGTGTGGTTTGAATAGGTATGGCCACTGTAGACCCATGTGTTTGAATCCTTGGCCCATAGGGTGTGGCACTATTAGGAAGTATAGCCTTGCTGGAGTAGGTGTGGCCTTGTTGAAGGAAGTGTGTCCCTGTGGAGGCTTTGAGGTCTCATGATCAAGCTAGGCCTAGTGTGGCAGTCTCCTTCGGATCAAGATGTAGGAATTTCAGCTCCTTCTCCAGCACCATGTCTATCTCAATGTCACCATGCTTTCTGCCATAATGATAATGAAGTAAACCTATGAAACTGTAAGCCAGCCCCAATTAAATGTTTTCCTTTATAAGAGTTGTGGTCACAGTGTCTCTTCACAGCAATAGAAACCCTAAGATACTTGAAGATATAATAATGGGAAGATGTGTCCCTTGAAAATAGGAAACAAGATAACATGAGATATAGGAAACAAGCCAAGACAGAGGAAAGGAAATATTCAGAATGGTACTGAAAGGGAAATCCCCTGCTAACGGGCATAGGCTAGGCCTAGAAAACAAGCAGGACAGAGGAGCCTGGGACAGCCTTCTCCAGAAGACTAAACTAGCTGGCTGATGCATATTCCCACAAGAGAAGATTTAGATAATGAGAAAACACCAAAAAAGAAAAATCCCAATCTTCTTACTGGAAACAAGGGTCCAAACCTTCCCAAACAGTGTTTTTTGCGCTTTTTTTGTTTTATAAAGAAAATTCATAATTTTTTTATTCTGGCTTATTTGCTATTTTATTTGCCTGTTTGTTGTCTAGAGAGAAAGAAGGTTTGGAGTTGGATGAGTGTGGAGGTGGGAAGTATCCAGGAGGATATGGGAGAGGGGAAACCATGATCAGAATATATTGTATGAATTTTCAATAAAAAAAAAAAACCAAGAATTCGAGCAGCTCACTTAATCATACATACTTATCTTACACAATTATGAAATAATACTCAAGATGGGGCCAGAGGGCATAGGGGAGGGACAGAAAGTATTCAGGTGTATAACATAGGGGGAGGTGGGGTCAGAACAGAACAACTCAAAAAGGAACAGTGACTATTCCATAATGTGAAGCCAACAGTGAAAATCTGCTGCTGAAAGATCAAAAAACTGGTCAGTCAACTCAGGGAAAAGAAGGCTCTGTGAGAAGTTAAAATGGTTGCTTCAAGGGAGGGGAAAACTGGGGTAAGAGGCAGAGGATTAATCTGTAACAAGCCCTATACAAGCATCTGTCCCTCTTATATAAACATATATCACTTTAAAAAAAGCTGAAATACTCATATGTCATTGTCTACTTTTTTAACTTAAGCAGGGGGAGTGGAAATATCTGTAATTGGTTACGATTCATTAGTTGTAAATAGTCTGTACTCAGACCTGCTCCGATGTCTATTTTAAGAAGGCAATATGATAAATATCTACTGAAAAACATTTAGTAATGTTAGTAGAAAAGCTTTAAGTCTAACCTAAACTAATACTTATCTTTAATTATAAGCAAAGGTTATGAAATATGGAATCAGGCCTAAGAATATGAAGCAATTAGCTTAAAAGCCATTTCTTTATCTAGTTTCTCTTTCAGGTTCCTCCTACTGCGTTTTCAAGGCTAATTATATCTGTGGGTGAAAGTGGTTTGATGCAGACAAGACCTGTGCCCTTCTGCCTTTGACACTTGAAAAAATACCAGGCTTGGAAAAGTAGGAAGTAGCAATGATAAAAATGTGGGTTTGAACAGTGAATACTGAATGGACTGAAATAGACAGAGAGGCTAACATGCAGAAATAGATAAAAACAAACACACAATTCAATTCTGTTAACAGTTTTAGTATACTCTGCTTTAGTCTAGTTCCCTTTGCACTGAACAGAAATGACAACTCAGTTTTCAAAATACCAATAGATTCAAATATGCCCTTGATTCTATACAAATGCAAGTCAAAATCAGCTTAAATAAAATTTTCTTCCATGTAAACACTAGCATACATCCAAAGGACCAATTTTAATTAGAAATTAATCACATTCTTTTACCTCTACCACAAGAAATATTGCTCTTAATATTGTTATTAATATAAAATACATCTTTAAAACAGCTGGCTAGTACACTACTTAAATTAGTGCTCAGTTCATATAAGTACTATCTCTTTGCACTTAAGGTGACTACATTGGTTATTACAGGATCAATGGCTTAGGTACTAAACCCAGATTTTGGTTGCTATGAACAGTAATCATTTCTTAAATCTCATATAACTGACAGTTCTCCCATCTTTAAGACTGTTGCTAACGTTCATTCTCAGAGATTTTCAATTCTGAGATTTACTATATTTGATCTTCTTCAGGAAATACTATTTTGAGGAAAATACATACCAGTCAGACATGAATGGTAGATAATATCCTCATAAACACTCTCTAATAGCAAAGCATTTTTAACCCCTAAAAGAGGATGAACAAAATTAAAATTTTAATCCACCTGTCTTGGAAATAGGATTATGGATAGGATTATGGATATTTTTAAACTTAATTTTCTACTTTCTGCTTCCTTCCTTCCTTCCTTCCTTCCTTCCTTCCTTCCTTCCTTCCTTCCTTCCTTCCTTCCTTCCTTCCTTCCTTCCTTCTCTTCTTTCCTTTCTCTTCTTTTCCCCCTAAAGTCTCAGTATATATCTAAGTAGGCCAAGGCTGGCCTGGATCTCTAGATCCTTCTGTCTTAGCCTCTCAGCCTCTTGAGTGCTGGAATTCCAGGCCTATATTGTTAGAAATTGGCACTCCTCCACCCACAGCCTGCCTTCAGCAACTCAGGGCCAGCAGCCACTTCACCACCAGCCATTAAATGCTACCCTTTAAATGTACCCTTTAAAACATCCCCACAATCACAGATAGCTCTCTGGCCATCACAGATCTCTCGCTCTCTATATGTCTCTATTTCTCTCACTGTCTCTGTCTCTGTCTCACTCATCCCCACTCCAAGGCAGCATTTTGCTCCCCCACAAAAAAAATCTCTTGCCTGAGATCTGTTACATGATATGATCTCTGAGGCATTCCATTCTTTGGCCCCAATCGATCCACCAAAGTACTCTTCCACAGAAACCCTACCATATACCACCATACCTGCCTCTAGTTCTTCAGTTTAAAAACAAATATTAGAAAATGTTAATAGTTGCTCAGCTTTTGACATAAGTAGGCATCAGTTTATGGAAAAAATATAATGAATGCACAGTGTGATCTACGAACCAGGTATGGTTGTATACACCCATAATCCCAATTTACCAGTAAAATTCAAAGGTTCAAATACTAAACTACAGTCCCAGCTGTTTGGTTTGATTTGATTTGAGGACTAAGTTTTGCTTTGGACTTGTAGTCCTCCTGTCTCAGCCTCTTGAGTATCTGGGATTATAGATGTATGCAACCATATCTAGTTCAAAGTTATCTTTTTATTATTTATTTATTTATTTCTTTGGTTTTTCAAGACAGGGTTCCTCTGTTGTAGCCCTGGCTGTCCTGGAACTTATTTTGTAGACCAGGCTGGCCTTGAACTCAGAGATCTGCCTGCTTCTGCCTCCCAAGTCCTGGAATTAAAGGTGTGCGCCACCATCGCCCAGCTAAAATTATCTTTTTAATACTTGATACCACATCATGCTGTGCATATATTAGAGAATCTAGAAATATTTAATTTGTTTACTTTTATGACAGATGCAAGCTTTCAAAACTCATTATAGTTTTTCATGAACTAATACCTAAAAGAAAATTCTACCTCCTACTGAAATGAACAGGAATGAAATGAGTTAACATTCTCTGTTTCCACTGGCTACCTGTATAAGTAGAAGCAAGTACATAAAGGCCCAGCATACCTGTAGGAGAAGAAAGCCTCCGCCTACTGCAGTTGCTGCAAGCTTTCCAACCTTCTGGAATAAAAATCCTGCACACCTTTAATGACAGAAATAACAAAAAATGAGAACAATCAGTGATGCACTAAATTTCTTCTACATTTTATTGCATTGCTAATAAAAGCTTAATGTCCTCCCATTTCTCCTGATAATGTCCTTTGCCTGGTCAGAAACCTTCAGTGTTTTCCTTCAGTCATACAGGATGGTTAAAAATGCACACTAAAATGTCTGAGATTTGCTGCAAAATGAGGAAAGAAGGGAAGAGGGAGACTTAAAAGGAAAATAAAAAGAGCAACTACTGAAACCAATTGTGAGTATCTGAGTTCATGATACTCCTTCTCCATTTGTGTAAGCTGAAATTTCCCACAGTAAATCATTTGCTTCTTTTGCTTAATGCAGTCAAGGTGTTCCATACATCTGGCCAACACATACTCCACCCAAAGCAGCTCCAATCCAGTTAGCTTCAAATGCATCATCATCTTTATTTGAGCTATTAATCTTCCCAATTCTATAGATTCCTGCCTAGCTCTGCCTATGAAAAGCCTTCCTGTCCTGTGTGTCATTCCACTTTTACGATTACATTGCCCACATTTCTCAGAGCCCCCTTATCTAGCATTGATTTTCTGTATAAAGCTTGCTTTGTCTCATCTAACTGTAGAGTGTCACCCCATACCTCTTGCATGAACTCACAGTTCCCCCTCACTATTCCAGATCAAAATAGCACAAAGAATCCCAGATTTCTAACCCTAGCCTTATGCACTGAATTGGTGTCTCCCCCAAATTACTGTCCTTCATGAGACTTTACTTGGAAATAAGGTCACTGTTGATGTAATTAGGTAAGATGAGGTCATACTGGAACTGGTAGGTCCTTAATTCAATGAGTCATGTCACAGGGACACAAACACAGCCAAAACAACTGCTGTAGTGGGTAGCCATTCCAGCTTTGTCCTGGAAGTTCCAACCCCCATTGAGGCTTCGGCAACTGTCACGTCTACAAGGTGGGGCTGAGAGAGGACCCTGAGGACCCGAGATCCGGATGCGCTGGCTCTCTTGGTTCCTGGACCCTGGACACTGGAGGTAGACCGAGCAGAGTTCTCCAGAGAACACTGCCTGACTACGCTACACCTTTCCCAGACCCTGTAACCTATCCCTTCACTTGTAAGTTACCCCACAAAATAAACCTCCCTTTTAACTACGTGGAGTGGCCTTAATAATTTCACCAATAAACTGCTACTAAGGTTCCGATTTCTATGTACCATTCTGCATTTGCCACTTAACATTCATTTCAGATTTCCTCATCTTCAACTGAAAGTTGTCTATACCCTGTCTCTAAAACTGCTTTTTCCTTTCTATTCTTTTGTTAATATTGTGTGTGTGTGTGTATGTGTGTGTGTGTGTGTGTGTTTTTTTTTTGTGTGTGTGTGTGTGTGCGCGCGCGCGCGCGTGCGCGCACGCATTTACACACAGGGATGTCCAAGCACAGCGTACATGAGTTGATTCTCTCTACCATGTGGGTCCTATGGTCCTATGGATAGACTTCAAGTCACCAAGCTTGGCAACAAGCCTACTTGCTGAGCCATCTTGCCAGCCCTCCTTTGCACTCTTAAGGGCATCATTACCTTGGTAATGTTATGTTGGGATTCCAGAACTGTGCTTCTAGACCATGCTCTAACGGCACCAGAATCAGTCTTGAAGGCCTCCAGGTCTCCTAGCAACCACCCATTATCACACTAGTTTTCATTTCTTATGATCAAAAACTCACAGCTAACTACCTACTACAGCTAAATACAATCTCCTCAGGCTATCCTTCATGTCTTGAATAGGTCTGAAATGTTAAGTTAGGTTCATGCCTATTAACTGTTCCTCTTTTTTTTTTTTTTTTTTGGTTTTTCGAGACAGGGTTTCTCTGTGTAGCTTTGCGCCTTTCCTGGAACTCACTTGGTAGCCCAGGCTGGCCTCGAACTCACAAAGATCCGCCTGCCTCTGCCTCCCGAGTGCTGGGATTAAAGGCGTGCGCCACCACCGCCCGGCTAACTGTTCCTCTTTTATGCCACAATATCACACCAATGTTATATCCTAAGAATATTTCAAAACGTTACTACATTGAATCTACACTACAGTCCAAGTCATTACAGCAAATCACCTATGTAGCTGCCGATGTCACTCAGAGGTAGAGTGCTTGCCTGCCATATGCAAGGCCACAGATGTCACTCAGAGGTAGAGTCCTTGCCTGCTATATGCAAGACCCTGAATTTACTCCCACACTAGTTAAAAATAAAAAACAAGCCACCTATGTATTAGTGTTCTATTATACAGTTCAGGCCATAGGATGGCTCAGCAGGTAAAGGCACTTGCCACCAAGCCTGAAGACCTGAGTTTGATCCTCAAAACCCACATGGTAGAGTGATCTGATTCCTATAAGCTGTCCTCTGACCTCCACACATACAAATAGATCAGTGTCAAAACAAAAACAAAAACAAAAAACCACAAACCATTACATAGCTCCTGTTTTGAACACTTGGCAGATACTGATAATCCAAACGTATGCATTACTATTATCAAGAATATGTTCCTCATACAGGAGTCGATAAAGTCTTAGAAAGAGAAAAAAAAGTAGGCAAGTATCTTCAATATCCCAAGTCGGATGTTCCATAAGCTGTATACCACTGCTAGCAAGCATCAGTCACTAAGATGACCCTACTAACTTTTGCTCTGCCTTTAGGCTTTTCAAGAAAACCTGGCAATCATGGGCCTTCTTACCAGGTTTGGTCTACAAGAAGAAAATGTGCAGTAATCTTATAATTCTATTTCTCAATTATTTTTAAAATATCTTTTAACATTGGGCTTTTGGCCATGACTCCATTTAACCAATCACCTCTGGCACCAAATTATGAATTGATTTAAGGGGGACAGAGGTGTAATCATTCTACAGTGAATCATCGAAGTGACCAAGGTCCTCAGCAGAAATTTCTGCTCTAACGGCATGCTTTTTCAATAAAGCAGTATTAATACCATGCCTGTGTGCCATGGAATCTTCACAATAGTTGGTTTTTGACTGTTTTACATTATAAAAGGGCTTTTATAAGCAGGCATAGGAAACCATCACTATTCCAAGGTCCATGTAAAACACACATGAAGAAATGTTATTTACCCATGCCACATGGAAGCATGTATTTTAATTAACACAAGATGAATTTACCTTAGAATGTAAAGGGAAAAAATGCTTACACTTTAAGCACTGTCACTTCAAAAGAGTCATCAACATTTTTCAAAATGTTGAACTGGTTCTGTCCCTTATTATCTGGTTAATCTTTTATTCCAAAAATAACAAAACTAAAATACATGGTAACAACAGTGTAATCATGTGGTCTGAGTTGCTGCCTAGTTAATGGTCATTAAGCACTCCTTATTGTACTCCACATTATTGCAGAATAAGCAATCGGTCCATTAATTTTAACACAGAAGCAATGCTGTCAGATCTTCAAAGCACTATCATAATCTGAACTAGCACCCAAAAAAATCGAATCCGCTGCATCATCATGAATAATTTTTACTGACCATTAATGCTTCTATGTACAGAGCTGAAACTCCTAGAGGCCAGTTCTGCAGTGGGAGTTCTCATGGGTTTTTCCAATTGTTGGCACTGAATAGCAAATAACAATTAACTTGCTGAATTTGGAAATTTGATAACGAATCAAAGGAAGGGTAACGGGGGAAGAGTGGAACTATGGTGGGCCTGTGATAGAGGGAAATCATCAAAATCCAACAAGGAGTGTCTAAACGTTGATCTAACCAATTACATCAGGGAAAAGCCCCCAAGTTGTGCTCTTCTGGAATTAACAGTGGAGAGCCATCGAAGATGTATGGTGACTGACCCATTTACAAAAGGACAATAAATAGCTAGGTTCCCATTGAAATTCAATGAAAAAGATGTTCTCACCAGCCAGTCACACCACCCATTACAATCTGGGTAGCTACGGAGTATTTTTCTACCATAGGTCCCGAACTGTGGCCAAATACTCGATTCCACCAGTGGTGTCTTCTTGCATACTCAGTTAAATCCAACACTTCATAAGACTCATCATCGCTTTCATAGTCTTTAAAAAACACAAAATGAAAACATAAATCAATCTATACTCGGAAACATCTAACAAATTGTTTTCATAAAACCTGTGACTGTCATGTCTGGCCTATAACTAAAAATGGCCAGATGGAAACGAATGAGCAATATTAACTCAATCCCTGAGATTAGGGCCTCAAGAGAAAAGGGCTTAGCAATAGCATCCCCATTTCCTTTTCAAAGACATAGGGACATGCAGCCAGGAGCCAAGTGAGTTACAAAGCAGTGAGTGGTTACCCGCCCAATCAGAATAAGGTCAAGGCAGGGTCCATTTCCATCAGTGGGTAAAGGGGGAGAAGGGATGTTCCTCCCCTGAAAGAACAGGTTAGGAAGCCAGCCAAGGAAATCAGGACAGGCCTGAAACGGAACCAACCAATCAACCCACCAACCCCCCTACTGTAGCAAGATGGAGAAGGGCTAGAGGTGGGGGCAGGGCAGGGTCCGGCACTGGTAAGTGTAGGGGAGCATGGTGAGTTCCGCAAAGAGGGGAAGGTGACGTCTGGTTTGGAGGGGGGTTGCTCAAAGGGGCTGTGTAGCGACCGAGCCCCACAAACACTGGAGGAGGGGAAGGGAGAAGCACCATGGGAGCAAGGTCGAGAGCTGTGGGCCGCGTCCCAGAGACTACTTCGGGTCCTGGCTGCTCACCTTGGGGAGGGGGGTTCCGGGACGCCATGATACCGCCGGCGGCCAGTTCGGGGTGGTCCCCGCCCGCCCTCCTCTCCCCAACACTTTAAAGGACGCTCTAGGCCGAAGTGGAAGTCTATGGTCTCTCTTTTTCCTCAGCCTCCACCTCCTCCTACTCCTCCTCCTCCAGACTCAGTCTTGTCACCGCCCACTCTTCCCAGCACAGCGCCATCAGCACTTTGTGCGCAGCCGCAAGACTAGGGATTGGGGCGGACTGTTTGGGGCCTCGCCCTACGAGGGCTTATGGGAATTGTAGTTCCGTGCTCTTCTTCCCGGGTGACCTGGGCATCTCCCAACCCCCACTAGAGTTTCCAAGAGAAAATTTCGTTATTCTTTTTTTCTTTAAGCTGAAGGGATGGGTGGAGGAACGGCGCTGGGCAATAGAACAGGGCAACCAGTTTGGCTCGACGGACTGTCCTTAGCCAGTCGTCAGTCAGGTGGCTCTTCTGAAGCTGTCTTTCTGATTAGATGTCCTCGTTAGGTCCTATCTTTGGTCTCCAGTTGTTGCAAAAATTCTGTTGACTTTAACAAAAATTCCACCCCTGCTCCTTGCTTGATATCTAATAACTCAGACCTTTCTTCAGTAACCCTATTAAGTTGGCTTAGTAATTAACTCCCCTGCCCTGATGTCTCCTCTTTGTAGGACTCCACAACTTGACCCTCTCCCTCAGATTATGCACTATAAATCACCGGCATTTTTCTGTATTCCAAATTGAAATGGATCCATTGCCCATTTTAACTAGTGTCAAGATAATTTTTAAAGGATGTTTTGTAAAAAACGTGTCTTAAGCACCATACCAGCAAAAGATATGAAACTCCCTGTTTCAAGCCATGTATTTCACAAACTTCCACAGGCTCACCAAGAGACAGAAAATTTTTTTAGTGCCCTATTGCTAAGAAGTATAGGACTGCTTTGATGGAATTGTTTGATAGTCAAGCAGACATAATTCTTTAGCTTGTATTTTTGTTTGGTTAGTTATTTTTATTTTTTATTTTAATTTATTATTATTATTATTATTATTATTATTATTATTATTTTTTTGGTTTTTCAAGACAGGGTTTCTGCGTGTAGTTTTGCACCTTTCCTGGAACTCACTCTGTAGACCAGGCTGGCCTCAAACTCATAGAGATCCGCCTGCCTCTGCCTCCTGAGTGCTGGGAATAAAGGCGTGCGCCACCACTGTCCGGCTTTTTTTTTTTTTTTTTTTTTTTCCGAGACAGGTTTCTCTGTGTAGCTTTGGAGCCTGGAACTTGCTCTGTAGAGCAGGCTGGCCTCGAACTCTCAGGAGATCCGCCTGCCTCTGCCTCCAGAGTGCTGGAACTAAAGGTGTGAATCACCACTGCCTAGCAAAACCAGCAAATTAAGAACTTTAAGTTCTTTTCTTTCTTTCGTTTTTTTTTTTTTTTTTTTGCTTGTTTTTTTTTTTTTGTTTTTTGAGACAAGGTTTCTCTGTGTAACAGTCCTTGCTATCCTGGAACTCACTGAGATCCATCTGCCTCTACCTCCTAAATGCTGGGATTAAAGGCATGGGCCACCACCTCCCTCATTGGTTATTTTTAGACAACATCTCACAGAACCCAGGATTCACTATAACTCCCTGTGTAGACCAGGCTGGCCCGGGACTTGCACAGATCCATCTCTGTCTCTCCAGTACTGAGATTAAGGCTTGTATCACTAAGCCCTACTTGCTTGTTTGTTTTTACATGTCCTCACTGTGTGAGCTCCAACGCTCGATTCCTCTGTCTCACTCTCTCTGGTGCTGTGATTACAGACATTCACCGCCATGCTGAGATTTTTAGAATCATTGTTATTATTTAAATATGACATAGGGATAAAGTCAAATTTTTTATCATGAAAATCCATGGAATTCTATAGGATGTAAAAACATGTTGTGTACCAAACAGCTAACCCAAGTTCACATAAATTAGCACCAAACTTATTTAAAACATGAATTCTATCTGAATTAGCTGTATAGTTAAAATGAATAGCCTGATTTGTATTAACATTACTGGAAAGTTAAGACATTCTAGTTTAAAGTACATTATTTAAGAATATTAGCTTTGCAGTTGATATTTCAAATCTTGGCAGTTTTTAAACCTCTTGCTTATTAATTTTTTCATTTATATAGCTTGCAAATGTCTTTCAATTATTTGTTGATTGGGATAGAATACTTCTAAGCAGGTAATATCCCTACAAATTGAATTACTTACCTTCATTACCCTTCATATTATAATACTAATTTGTAATAACTATTAAGTAACTTGTGTTTCTTAGTTCTTACCTTATCTATGCAAATAATTATTAGCCTTTAGCTTCAACTCTGCTTTCCTTTAAGGATGTTTAGTAAAGCAAATTTTCTCTGCTATGGTCTAATGGGATTCCCATATCTACAGAACTAGCAAGACATAAAGACATGTAGACAATAATGACAAGCATTCATTTCATGTCCATGAAGGGGTTTGCAGAGCTGGGAATAAAGGAGAAAGAGAATGAAGGTAAAGACTTCAAACATGGGGCAGAAAGAGAATATAAGGCAAAAGTGAGGCACCTCAAGGAAGGAGAGGATATTGGAAATTTTTAACATTGATATAAAATAAGATAGTCTAATCAATGCTGAAATAATGTACCTATTCTAAGGTGACTAAGTTTGTGGTGATATTTTGTGTATGCTCTAACAAATAAAGCTTGCCTGAAGATCAGAGGGCAAAGCCAGCCACTAGTTAGCCATAGAGGCCAGGCAGTGGTGGCGCACACCTTTAATCCTAGCAGAGGCAGACAGATGTCTGTGAGTTCAAGTCCACCCTGGGCTACATGAGGTTAATCCAGTCTAAAAGAAAAACAGAGCCAGGCAGTGATGGCTTATACCTTTAATACCAGTACTTGGGAGCCACACCTTTAATCCCAACACTAGGGAGGTGGAGACAGGAAGTAATATGGTTGGGCAGAGAGAGGAATATAAGGCAGGAGGAGACAGGAACTGGGCCCCTTTTGGTTGAGGATTTGGAAGATGTAAGAATTAGTGGCTGGCTGCTCTGCTTCGCTGATCTTTCAGCTTTCACTCTGGGTTTTTATTATTAAGATCAATTAGGATTCATACTACATAAGTTCATCACACTGCTGGTTCCCCCACCAAAAGAAAAAAAGCAGGTTTTTTAATCCGCATATAATGACTAGATAAACCTTTATGGCTAGGGCTCTAGCTCAGTTGTAGCCCATTCACCTAGCATCTATAAGGCCATGGTTTGAATCTTCATGCCATAAAAAAATCAGAATAATTTTTTAAATATTTAAGTATTTATTTATGTATGTGTACGTGTGCACGCACACGCATGAATGAGAGAGAGAGAGAGAGAGAGAGAGAGAGAGAGAGAGAGAGAGAGAGAGAGAGCCAGAAGAGGACATTGAATCCTCTGTAGCTGGAGTTACAGGTAGTTGTAAATTGCCTGATATGGGTTGGGTGCTGGGAACTGAACTCAGGTCCTTTGCCAGAGCTTGCATCACAACTTCAAGATCAGACTAGGCTATACACTGAGTTCAAGACCACCCTGGAAAACATTGAGACTCCGTGATGGTTATTGTTAATTGTCAAATCCACACCTTGGAGGTAGGCCTCTGGGCACACCCATGAGGGATTATCTAATAACCTCTGGGAGTGTCTGTGAGGGATTTTTGCTTTGTACTGACTGATGTAGTAGGACCCATCTTGATTGTGGGCAGGACCATTTACCTTGTCAGTGGGGCCTTGATCATATAAAATGAAGAGGGCAAGCTGAGCACTGGCACAGAAATATGTATTGTTCTCTGTTGTTGACTGTGTTGCTGTTGATGTAATGTGACCAGTTCTCTCAAGCTCCTGCTGCTATGACTTCCCTGCCATGATGGGCTGTAACCTGGAATTGGGAGCCAAACAAACCCTTTCAACCCTTTCTCATTAAGTTAATTTTCTCAGTATATTTTTTTTATCACAACAACAGGAGAAGAAACAATGACAGACCTGGTCTCGAAACAAAGAGTCAAAAAATGTGCTGGGAATATGCCTCAGTGTTATAGTGCAAATGGCCCAAATTCCTATTCTGTCCCCAACCCAGGTACTTCTTAAAAGTCACTATTTTAAAATGTGTCAGACAGACTCAGGCCAGGATGCAGGTAGGCTAACTGCAGACCTTCACCTCTTCCTCTGCTCCTCTAAGTCCAATCACCCAGTCTCATCCCAGTTCTGCAGCTGACTACCTGCTGAAACCTCCCTTCCCTCATTAAAAGTCTCCCAACCCAAAACAGTCCAGGGCTAGATGGTTCAGTACAGAATTCTACCAGACTTTCAAAGAATAGTTACTGCCAATACCCCTCAAATTATTCTACAAAATAGAAACAGAGGAACATTGCCCAATTCATTTTACAAGGCCACAGTTACCCTGATACCAAAACTACATAAAGACCCAACAAAGATGGAGTGGAGGGGAAGGAAAGGAGGAGGGAGGTGAGGGAGAGAGAACTACAAACTAATTTCCCCTTTAAATATAGATGGAAAAATTCTTGATAAAACACTCACAAGCCGAATCCAAGAACACATCAGAAAGATCATCCACCATGATCAATTAGGCTTCATCCCAGAGATACAAGGATGGTTCAACATACAAAAATTTGTCAATGTACTATACCATATATACAAACTGGAAGAAAAAAACCCACATGATCATCTCAATAGATGCAGAAAAGACCTTTGACAAAATCCAACACCCCTTCATGAATAAAAGTATTGGAGAAGTTAGGGATACAAGGGACATACCTAAACATAATAAAGGCAATTTACAGCAAGCTGACAGCCAACATCAAATTAAATGGAGAGAAACTCAAAGCTATTCCACTAAAAACAGGAACAAGACAAGTCTATCCACTCTCTTCATACCTATTCAATACAGTACTTGAAGTTCTAGCTAAAGCAATAAGACAACTATGATGGGAATGTCTTTCTGTATGCTGTGAAAATGTGTTGCTCTGATTGGTTGATAAATAAAGCAATTTGGCCTATTGCAAGGTAGCTTAGATGCAGGCGGAAAATCTAAACAGTGAGGAAGGAGAAAGACAGAACAGATGAGATGCTGCCAGCCCACTGCCATGAGAAGCA